TATACAAAGTTATAATGTGACTTGCTTACTGAGTTCTTAACAAAAGGTAAACTTTTGGGCATTCAGGTACAGAGAAGACCTTTATAATCCAATTTGAAATTTTCGCAACACGATGCTTCCATCTGACGATGTCGTGATGTTCCCGTTTATTGAGTATTACTCTCAGTCTCAATTTTTCATAGATCATGACACTTTATGTTTATATGCGAGTTCTTTAATGAGTCTGGTTAACAATTATTACTTTAAGCTTCATTGACAGATAATTTGAAATAAGCTGAAATACAGTATAAAAGGACAGAGCAGATCTTATGTACACAATTATACAGTAGAGAAGGAAAAGGATTAAAATAAAGATACCAAAGCAGCTCATAGACTGCCGCCTCCGAAATACAGAAAAGGAAGTTGAAGCTCCGAGAACCGTATATCGTTCCATTCAGTGGATACTCTCAGTCGTTTCCCCAGTCCTAATACCATAAAGCACTCTCCCCCCTATATCCTGACGAGACCATTTATGAGGTTCTGACATCAGATATCATTTGCTCATTGTAATAATGGGGAAGTGATAACGATATGCAGAGCATAATGATCTGGTGTTGATAGTAGTGTTATGTCTACTCTCCAGACATTACACTATCAGTTTTCTTGCTGATTTTTAACCCGAATACATTGTGACGATTTACGACATTCTCCGGGGCGGTAAGATGGTGCATCCACATTGATTTAATCATTCAAATCCGTCCAGAACCAAAACTCCCAGAATTTGATAGAGAACCAAATGAAAATTTAGGCAGAACTCATTGTACAGCTTCATGTGGTTGCTCGGGATGTGGATGTTTCTTGTGTTCATCCAATTGCATGCTGTATCACACGTATGCATTACCGCTAACGACAACAATATACAAAGTATTCGCATGTCCAATTTAGAATAGATTTGTAAAAAATTACTTTACAAATGGAAACTCATAGAGAAACATTTACAGAAGAGTTTCTCCTACTAGAAGGGCAAAAGGTAGAATTTAAAAAACTACAATTATTTTTTATTTCTTATAGCTCACTACCATTGCCTTCACTGGGTCAAGAGTTCATAACGGATAAACACAACACTGTATTTATTACTTCCGGCCTCCTCGGCAGGCGCCAAATTGGCAGGAACAGTTAGAAGCCTGCAATGCGCGAGCTATGATTTAGCAAAAAAGATGAATTGTGCATTACCGCAAGGCATGTGCCAATGCTCTATTGGAAAAGCAAGCGTAAGTTGTTCTTTTTACAGCCGTAATTTAGAAGAAATACTTGGCTAGGCTCAATTCGGTATACCTTTATCTACATCGGGGTTAAGAATCAAAACCAAAGGAAGAAATATCAAGGCGTATTTAAACAATGTAGGATCACTTGAGATACAAGCAGAATTTTAAAATTACAAAATTGCAATCATCCAAAACATTAATACATGTGATATAAAAATTATTTCTTTAGAAGGTTGCTATAATTTTCTAGGTAAAGCCGAATTAAAATACCAGTGCATCACTAACTTTGGTAACACACTAGCATACGTTGACTGCAAAGTAATTTTATTTGTGATGCAATGCTCTAAGATTGTTCCAAAAGAAACAATCGACCTAGCATTTATGCACTCCAATATTAATTAAAACTGCAAGGTGAAGTGCTCAAAGGAGGAAAAGCAAATTGCAATTTAAGCCGTCTTAGGGTATGTCCTCACCACCAAATTTATCACAGACAATAGCTTTGTATCTATAGATGGGGGAAGACGGTATGGAGGCCTTACCAATATTGATCTCTTATTTTGGCCATCAGGAAGTCAAGTACAAAAACTTTTTGTTACAACAGCGATTGTAGAAGAAATTCTTGTACAGTTCATAATGCGCACCTACATAAGGCTGTTTACTAAAAACCAAAGATAATGCGAGGCGCCAAAGATATAATCGGAATAATATGACACAGAATGAACAAGCGTTTATATGCTAAGCATTTCGAAAAGAAACACTAGTATTCAAATTTGAAACTATCAAGACCATTGGTGCTTTAAGTTGCTAAATTGCTAATAACCTCTTGATTAATATTTACCTTATATTCAAATCACTGTCAACAGTACCTTTATAAGTCCTAAAGTATTTGTTACTGCTAATTTGTCTTACTAAAAGCCAATTTTCTCTTTCTCGCATTTAATTATTACTTTTAAAACTAATAATCCAAGACTGTCTTATTTGTATTCCATCCTAACAAAATATTAAAATATTTATACTATAAGTTTAATTACTCCTAAATCCTTTATTAATTCTAAGTCCTCATTCCACACCATCAAGATGTCTTGCGGTCAAAATTCATCATGATTTCATCCAACGTCGCTAAAATCCCCTCAAAAACAAGTTCAATGAGGACCAGAGCAACGATTAGGAACGCTCAGTGAATATATGGTGACTCAAATGTAAAACCACTTTGCTATTCTTGTGCTGATTCTAAACGAACGGCTAATGTATGATTCTATGGAGAGATTTCCCACCCTTATCCACGTAGACCGAACACTGAGTGATGACTTTGCGGTAGACGATCACATCCAAGTGAGTGCGTTTAAATCAATCATAAAAGATGGAATTATTCAATCACCACTATATTTTCCAAATATCGACTTTCGATAAGAGAGCGCTCAGGGATTAATGAAAGCTAACGTCATAGCAACTAAATTTATTGAAACTTATGAACAACCGAGAACAACAAAACCTGCCTTCATCCACGTAATTGCTTCACATGATCATTATACTGTTCAAATCAACACCGAAGGCCTGCTAGGAGCTCAGGACACGTCAAACCGAGATGTTTTCTTCACATCAAGGCCACCGGAAGAAAGAGAATTCGTTGAAGCGCTCGTAGCGTAACTACCAGAGGGTGGTTACAAATATGAAAAATTTCATTATCGAAAATTTTATTGGTATGTTTTACCGAAGACGTATGAAGAAATAGTATCAATGGGCAACATAATAGAAAGTGGAAGAAACACCGCACTATGTATCAGACCCTATCAAAGGCCGTCATTAAAGGCAATGAACTGTTCCTCGCTGACAGTAAACTGTACACTCCAAACCTAAGAAGGGAGGAGTCAAGATAATGGGAATTACTAATTTATATTTCTGCCGAGTGTGCTGAAGACCAAGTAAAGGCATTATTATATAACACGGCAATAAAACCGGCATTCATCAAGTGTAAAGCTCGTCTTGCTCCACCCAAAGACAGAAAGGCAAAGCTCCAGTTTATTATCCTATGTGGTAAAGATGAGCACGCGGAACAACAATTTGCGAGATACATTAAAAATTGGACACCAAAAATATCACAATTTTCAAAATAATTAGGCAAAGACCAGTCTTTTAGCAGAACCGCGACGCTTAATTGTGAGTGGGTTGATGGCTATAAACCAATTGGACTTTAGATTTTATTATGCAACGATTAATGAAGAAGGACACCTGGCCAGAGAATGACAAGACTATTTTACAGCTAATGAAGATAGATATAGATATAAGGGACGCAAAAAATACTTCATACAATAATAACATGAAGGCTATTACAGTCGTGCCGGTTTCACCAAAATTCCGTTGACACTAGGCAGCAATTTTTTTTCCTTTTCTTTTCGTGATATCCCTCTTTCTATTAATGCTCTTTTATATAGCACTGAATTGGTAATGATAGATAGATATATTGATATTAGACAAGACAAAATATCATCCCAAACATTACGCAGCTACGTCCGGGTGACCATTATACCGGACTTGTCGTGATATTCATGACATGCTGGTAGTTCGGCAACCTTTGCTTTTACCAACTCTCCTTCCTCTGGTATTCTGAATCCAAATAGGATGCCGTTTTCTTCCAGTTCTTAGGCCCTCAAAGCTCCTTAGTATTTACATAAATGATATTGTATGATAAACTGAAGCAATCTGAGTAAACGCAGGTTGCACCTGTCTAGGTTGTTTATAAATCTGTATAAACTTAGTGGCTATAGTGCTGGCCTTAATCTATCCATATTTGTTTCCAGCATAAAAGTCTATATGAGGTAAATATGATATCGGTTTGTAATTTCCTTTCATTATAACTCTTCTGAGAGCACTTACCTGTACGATGTCTCTGATTGCACAGTCGTCATCCGCCAAACGGTTAAATTGCATTAGTACACGGAATGTAGTGTAGTTCTTATAGGTTTGTTTGTCGTTTAGGTCGAGAATCAATATGACAAAATGCCCCTGAATTTGAGTTACCACGTAGATCCCTGGTTGGTTCAGTAGTTCCTCTGGTCCCCAATGAACGGCATTTCGCTTAGGTTTTTTGTCAATAGAATGGAACTGGGTAACGTCTTCATGGAAGTCTTTTGGGATATAAGACATTTTGGAGGGTTACCTCTAAAATATGAAACCTTTAAACAATGAGGGAATATTTTTAAACTTTCCCTGCTTGTGAAAGCAAGTGGTAGAACTTAAATAAAATAGCTGATAGGAGATAAGGAGAAAATAAGGAAAGAGTATAGTAGAATTGAAGGATGAGTTTTGAAAACCAAAATTTTGACAATGATACATTCATTTGATATGCCTAGCTTATAAAAGCTTGCTACTCTTTTGCTCTGATTTCCCGCTTTCCAGACGCTTCGGCGCCTGACATTGGCTGTAATTTTTGTAAATTTTTTCGTGTAGATGCGTATAGTGATTAGCATGAAAATTCCTCCCATGATCGCCGTTGTAACAAAAAATTTTTGTACTGGAGTTCCGTTTAACCAAAATAAAAAGTCAATTTCGGTAAAAGCTCCAAAGCGTCTTCTTCCGTTAGTCGATACAAAGCTACTGTCTGTGATAAGTTAACTGTGGGAACATACCCTAAGACGGCTTGTAGGGCTATTTTCTTTTCTTCCATTGAACATTTCAGCTTACACTTTAAATTAATTTCAGAGTGAGTAAATGATAAATCAGTCATTTCTTCCCGTTTAACACTAGAACATTGCATAACAAATAAAACTTCTACGCAATCCACATAAGCTAGGGTATTACCAAAATCAGAAATGCACTGTTATTCCAATTTGGCGCCTGCTAAACAATTATAACAACTTTTTAAAGATATAATTCTGATGTCGCATGCGTTAGCATCTTCATTTACGGAAACTTGGTAATCTTTAAATTCTGCCTGTAATTTGAATAACTCTAAATTATTTAGATGTGCATTACAATTTTTTCCTACTACTCTAATTACTAAACCCGGCGTGGATAAAAGCAAGTTTAATTGAGAATTGCTCGTTATGTCTTCTAGATCACATCTGTAGCAGGAACAACTTATGCTGTTTTCTCCAATAGAACATTGGCACATACCTTGTGGTAGTGAGCAGTTCGTTGTTTTTGCTGATTCATAGGTGGCACGCTGTAGGCTTCCAATCATTCCTGCCAGTTTGGCGCCTGCCGGGGAAGCTGGAAGTAGTATGGTTGCATGTCCGTCAGTTGTAAACTGTTGGCTTAATAGGGGCAATGGCGGCGAGCTGTAAGAAGTTAATGATACTTTTAATTTTTTGAATTCTACTTTTTGTCCTTCTATTTAAACAAATTCTTCTGTGAATAATTCTCCATGACCCTTCATTTGCAAAGTGATTTTGACTAATCTGTTTCAATTAAAGCACGTAAACGTTTCGTATACTGTCGTAGTAAGAGGCAGTGCGTATGTGAGATATAATAGGCAACTTCACCAGCATAAAAAACACCCACATCCCGCGGAATCACACAAGGCCGAGCAATAAGTCTTTCCCTAATTTTTGTTAGGTTCGCCATCGAATTCTGGTAATTTGGACTCGGGTTTGATTTCGGCACATTTTTCCCTCACGCATGATCCAGCAGATGCGCATCTTTTCATGGATACTGTTTTCATAGTAAATGATCGCGTATAATGTAATGTTCTTTTTTGACAAGTCAATCCCAGCTCAACGCATTTAGTTGTGATTATACTTATTGGTTGTTCCATAGGTCTGTTAACTTGGATGCACACTTCCTGTCCTTGGAGAGCTAAAACTAAGCGAATTGCATTTGATATAACGCAACTATTTATCCCTTCTTTTGTTCTTTGGCATTAGTGTGATTTAGTTTGAATTGAAGTGACTCGAATACAAATTTGAGAAAGAACTATCTGTTTAAAATTTAAAGCCAAAATTATAGTTTTGCGAAAATTTTGGTTTAATTTCGTACAAGGTCGATTTTTTATTTTTAAATTGAGATGGTTAAAACCGTCCTTTGTCCAGAAACGCTTCACGTGAAAAATACCTCTTTATGCCTTTTTTTATTATAAAAGTCTGAATACAAAACAGCGTCCTAAAAGAAAGAATATTTTTAATAATACATGCACTATCAGCGCACTTAAAGAAATAACACGTATGATCATCAAATTTTGCCAAGCCGAAGCACATTGTGGATTAAATAATGCTTCTTTACAGAAACAGCAATGTATAGATTCGCATAGAGGGTTATCTGGGCACGATTAGCTTACCGTTTTTACAATCTATGTTGCCAGATTTTTGTGTGAGTGACCTAATTTGTCAGAACTATTTCCTTCGAAAGGATTATACTTTTAAAACCGTTAAGTTGTTTTTTTGATAAGACAAAAGGGTTCTGCACAAAATTCAAATACCAAAACCGGTTCATTGCTATAAAATTGGATTCCGCTTTGAATGCGATTAGCCTTACATCTAGAGCATCCTTGTTTTTCATTAATTCGTTTGTATTCATAATACTGTGCTTCAGTGATGCCCCCAGCCTTGATTAAAATTTTGCTTTCACTGTCAACATAATATACAATTTTGTTGTTTGGGTAGGAACAAAATTGGGTTTCTTCATTTGAACAATTGTGCATTGTACAAAAGGCTGATGTTCCTGTTCTTTTTCCTCTTCCAAAGCATTGAGAGTTATTGGCAAAATATTGCATTTGAAGTAAATGAAGATTTTCTACCAAATATGTGCGATGATCATGTAATTCAATTTGATAAAAGTTACCAGTAAGAATTTTCTCATTGCACTCCTTAGATTTTTTAAAGGAGCAAATATTGCTTGGAAATGTTTACGTATAATTTCTTTTTTTTGTCGGGGAGTTCTGGTAGCTTATCCTTCAGTAAAACAATGCAAGCTTAAAGAACCGTTGTCCTTTGTGAGCTCACAAAAATGTGCTACAAGCGGGATAGTCATAATGAGACAAAATCAAAACTACTGTTATTTCACAAAGAATTGCGCAAATCAACATCTTCAAAACGGAGATTATGCTAACATATGTCCCTGTCCTGATTGGACCAAGACTTATTCTCATGCCGTTATTGTATCACAGCATAACCATGATATGATGCATGTTGCGATTCACGTGATTGTTGCATGCGTTTCTTTGAATAGGTCACTGGTTATCGGTGTGCCGTTAGAGTGTCGTTTGTTGTTATTGATTCTTTGAATTGTTCCAGCTGTTTTTGTTACCTCCAGTGAGCACACTTTTGTCCATTGGTCATTTTTAACATCGCTGTTCCTATTTCTCCACCAAAATCGGGTTTTAATTTTAAGATTTTCGTAAGTTTCCAATGGCTTGCTCAACATTTTTGCCACATATCAATACCACTTCTCCTTCTTGAGGTCTCATTTCGTTGAAAACCTTTCAATTTTGCAAATATACTCGTTGGTTTTCTCTTAGGCTTTGCAAATAATCTGTTTGCCACAATTTTCAGAATTTGTCTGATGTTTTCATTGTAGCATAGTATTTCTTCATTAATTGATTTCTTTGACTATTTGGGAGGTATTCCTCATCGTCATTGTCTGTCTCTTTCCAATAGGACAGATTCAAATCGTCGATGTATGCTAATGGTCGCATATTTATAATTGCTTCGGCTTCATATAGGGGTGTTTGATTTTCTTCCATTGTGAAGATTCTTTGTCTAACAGTTCTCTGCAAAGTTTTCTTCACCAAGCCTATCATTCGTTCGTTATAACCCCTTCTCCATGGGTTTACGGGAGTTATAAAGTGCCATTTAATATGATGATTTGCTATCCAATTTTTTATTTCTTGGTGACACTGTTGAGACTCCTGTAGTTCCTCCAGAAGGCGATAGGCTCCTTTGAACGTAGTGGCGTTATCCGATAGGATGATGCCTGTAGATCCTCTCCTGGAAATAAAATGTTTCAGACTGTTTATGAAGCATTCAGTTGTTAAATCTATCACTATCTCTAGATGTACTGCTCGAGTAGTGAGACACGTGAACAAGGATTTTTATTTTTCGTTTGTTCAATCTTATCACAATTGGACCAAAATGATCTAATTCTGTAGACTGAAATGGCATCATTTTTACGCATTTAGACTTAGGAAAAGAGGCTACGGCTGGGAAACAGTATAGTTTCGTCTTCCATCTTCGGCAGATGTAGCATTCTCTCAAAGTTATTTTTACTGTATTCTCGGTCTTCGGTATCCACCATTGTCTTCTCAACTCTGCAATGGTTGCTTGAACGCTTAAATAAAAAAGCTCATTATAAATATCTAAAATGACTAATTTAGGGACGGCTTTTTTTTCTGGTATTAATATTAGTTCTTTCTGAGTTGTATTCCATTTGCGTAAGTAAATCGTACTCTACATTTGAGGAGGTCGTATTTCTTTACCAATCCTAATTTTTGCATTTCTTCTCTGACCTTTCCTTCTTGCAGTTTGAAAGAATATTCTCTGAAATGTTGACGTCGTACATTTTTTATTACAATGTTTTAAGCTATTTCTAGTTTTTCCGCGGAGAGGGGTCCTTGATTTTGCATTCCTTCCATAACTGAAAATTATAGTTTCAAAACCGTTAGGTTGTTTTTTTGATAAGACAAAAGGGTTCTGCACAAACTTCGAATACCAAAACCGATTTATTGCTATAAAGTTGGATTCCGCTTTGAATGCAACTGTCCTTACATCTAGAGCATCCTTGTTTCTCATTAAGTTGTTTGTATCCATAATATTGTGCTTCAGTTGTGCCCCCAGCCTTGACTAAAATTTTGCTTTTACTGTCAACATAATATACAATTTTGTTGTTCGGATGGGAACAGAATTGGGTTTCTCCATTTGATATATTGTGCATTGTACAAAAAGCTGATGTTCCTGTTCTTTTTCCTCTTCTGAAGCACCGATAGTTATCGGCGAAATATTGCATTTAAAATAAATGAAGATTTTCTACCAAATACGTGGGATGATCATGTGATTCAATTTGATAAAAGTTACCTGTAAGAATTTCCTCATTGCACTCCTTAGATTTTTTAAAGGAGCAAATATTGCTTGGAAATGTTTACGTATAATTTCTTTTTTTTGTCGGGGAGTTCTGGTAGCTTACTTTCATAATGAGAACAAGTCTTGGTTTAATCA